CAGCTTTTATACTGCAAACAAGTATCCTATTCATGGTCCATTCAGTGCCATATTTTTGCATTTCTGTATTTTTTGCTAATGATTTTTCTGTTTAAAATGGCCTCCACATGTAGTGGTGATATACTGTTTACTGTTTCTAAGCAAAAAGACTTTGATATGCCCCATGGTGAAAATACATGAGTTAAACAAGCTTCATCTGAGCAAGGGTTATTATGCCTTTGGCCATGAACTCAATTTTAATTAAGCAACAATACATACTAAATAAAGTATCTGTAGACAGAAACACACATAAAACAAGGTTATGTATTGATCAGTTGACAAATGTTGTAACCAGAGATTCACAGAAAACTAACCCTTTACTTCCCCTAGAAGCAATGGTTCAGTATTCACTAATTCAGTGTTTGTGGCAACTTTATAGAACATAATAACTATCACAAATTAAAAATACCAACTGAATTGAGACTTCCAGTTAAAGATCAACAGGGAGAATGTAGCTTATTAAAATGCGCCAAAGGAATCCTAGACCTGAAATAGCTGCCAGGTTACAATGGCAAAATTTGAACCCACACTAACCTTAAAGCCCACTACTTTCAGTCACTTTGTTTTCTGTTTGATGCTACCTTGTATTTTAAATATTTTATTGTGTTTTATCATTCCTGGAAAAATTCATATTTTCTGTAGAAATTCTGAAAATATAAGTGGAAAAAATAAGCAGAACATTACAAATAAAAACTTTTAATCAGAAGGAATATGAATCTGGGTTTCTTATTTTGCTTTGACTGACAAGATAACTCTCAGTATAAAACTAAGTTGTATTAAAGGTGAACTGCCATCATCATCCATTTAAGTAAAGTTTTTCTTTTAAAACAAGCAGTAAAATACATCTTGAAAATGGAATTTATCTTTACCTGTAACTAATATATACAGTCATTGTTAATAATCTACTGCAGTGAAACTGACCTGAGAATATCATTAAAAAGGTTGCATGTTGGGCTGGGGATGCAGCTCAGTAACAGAGCACTTGCCTATTTGTTTAGCATGTGTGAGGCCCCAGGTTCAATCCCCAGCACCTCAAAAAAAAAAAAAAAAAAAAAATGTCTGCACACAAGATGGCTTAAAGAAGATGGCTAACTGCATTAGTAACTCTCTGCCTATTGTATACCTATGTTGTCTTTTTTTCTTTTTCTTTTTTTTTTAATCTGAAGCAACTTCCTGAAAAACTTACATTGACCGTAGAATAAACTTTGATATGAAATCTCTTAGAGATTTCCAGATTAATTTCCAAAATTTAAGTAACTTTCAAGAGAAAATAAAAACCAGAAATAAATTAATCCAGTAGTTTTGTGCTAATTCGGTACAGAATTTTGATGCAGAACAATGCATATGTTTGCATGGCTAAGCAGAGCTCATACACTGAGGAGTTAGACTCAAGGCCACAAAGCAAAAAGACGCAGGATATCTTCTGGTTGAAAAAAAAATTATCATCTGAATTATGACTAGTTTATTTTTTAACTTCATATTTGCAAGTGAGAGACAAAGGTACTTAACAAGCTATTATACAAACTAATATTCATTAACAGAGAATCAAAAATTTATACAATTTAAACATGATTTCAACTGAAGTATTAATATATTCTCTCAATTTTACCTAACCATTAATGCCCTTGGGACTTTATTAGCTCCCAAATCCTTCAACAATTCTTTTTCAAAACCTAAAGAGAAGTATAGTCCCTCTAATTGAACAGGTAAGAGAAAACTTTCTTCTATTCTTGCAAGACCTTCTGCCTTACTACATGCAGCAGGTGGCATGTGACTAGCTGTCTTTTATTTGCATTCCTAATAAACCTTTGACCATATAAGATTTAGTAGACAAAGGTAACCTAATAAATAAGGCAGTTAAGAATGCTGTGAAACACAGAAGAGTCTTTGGAGTGGATCTGGTAGCCTTTATTTTTTACTTTCTGTAATTTGGCAACAACAGCATATTCAGAACTCATAACTCATTTTGATTAAACTGTCCCCTCCTTTTTTTCGTTCCCCCCCCCCCCCCCCCGTACCAGGGATTGAACACAGGGGTGCTTAACCACTGAGCCACGTCCCCAGGCCTTCTGAGACAGGGCCTTGCTAAATTGCTGAGGCTGACTTTGAACTTGTGATCCTTCTGCCTCAGCCTCCTCAACAGCTGGGATTACAGGCATGTGCCATCATACCTGGCTCCTTTCTCTATTTCTGAAGCAAGAGGGACCCCTTGGCTAGTGTGTCCAACAATGTGACTCACTTCCAGCCAGGCCAGCCCAGTTGGAGAGGCAACAAGGCATAGTTTCCACCTAAACTCTGGAAGCAGGTAGGAATCAGCTTTCACTTACTGGTAAGTAAGGTAGAGAGAATTAACATTCAAAGTGACTGGTTAAAACAACAACGGTACTGCTGTGCAACATGAAGTAAAACAACCCTGGTAACATCATACTGAGTCAGAAACAAACAGAGCTGCTCTCTAGTAAATTATATGTTAGCAAAGGGGTTCTCATAAGAACAGACGTGATGATGAAAAACGGCTGAGTCAGATGGGGGTGGGTATTTAAGCAGTAACACAGTAAGACTGGTTCTTATTTTGGTTTTGGTTGTCTTAAGGTGGGCACAATATTGGAAAGCAAAAGGATGGGGGGAAAAACTCATGAAAACGCTTTCACTCCCATGGGTCTGCCTTAGGAAAACTATTAGGTTCAATTCCAGCCAAATGATCAAAGAACAATGTAGAGAAAAAGAATTGAGAAGGAGAGCAAAAACCTGGCTAAAGCATTAGGTATGGAAGATAATTCAACTGGAGAGGGAGGAGTTTAAAAAAATCAAATCAAATCACGTAACCATCAATCAGAGAGGAGGCTTTCATTTGCTACTAAAAAATTGAACTAGCAATGAGTATCACAAATATGTATAATATTAATCACAGTAACATTAGTTTCAGTGAAAGAACTAGCTATAACTGTCCAATGGAATAATGATTTTTATGTGCATCTAAAAAACTGAGGGCTTACTAGCAGAGGGGACTGTATGGGCATTGAATAATGGAATGGGTGCAGCTCATAAGGCCAGGTATTAGTAACATCTGCACAGTGGCAGGGGCTAGGGGCAGAGGTGTGCATATGTAGACGCTGTGGAGGTATTTGGGGACAGGCAATCACTTTTTACTAACTGGCATGGAAGGCTTTCAGTTTGTTTTAACAATTGGTACAGCAGTGCCAGTGCACTTTGGCTACATGCCATCCATGGCCGTTGGCCATGCAGCAGCAAATAGCACCAAGTTCTTATTCCATGCCAGGCACTGCAGAGCACTCCTCACAACACTGAGGTGAGTATTATTACTGTCCTCCTTTTACAGAGGACAGAAAAGACTGAGGAGGTTAAAATGACTTGCCCAAGTTCACTCTGCTTGTAAATGACAATGCTGGGATTCAATCCCAGGCCTGCTTGCCAACGAAACTTGGTAACTTCCAGGTTGCTTCCCAAGACTAGATAGCCAAATGATGTAACATTAAAGGAGAAAATCAAGATAATAAGCTGTAAATAAACTAAGATTATACTCAGCTATTGAGTGCATTTCTTTCTTGATGTTAGAATTTCCAAATACTATATTATGATTATATTGCTTTTATAATGAAAGTTGGCAAGGAAAGCCATAACATGAGAAATTTCATAACAGCAAGGATTCTTAAATACTAGAAAGAGTTACTAAAGTTACACATATGCATTTTTTCCCTTCCCAAACAGGAGACTTTTCATCTGTCTGAAATGATAGAACTACTATTCTAAATGAATAAACAAAGTCACCTATTATAGACTTTTCTAGAACTAGGATTCCATATGTTGTCAATTCTATATCAAACAAATAAAAATATACTATTAGTCTAAAGATTATAGAGAATCCAAGGCTTTTATTCATTAACACTTATTGCCAGCTGACATGTCAGTCATTTGGTAGATGCTGGAGAACCTGGAAGTGGTCCAGAACCTTGCCTTCACAGAGCTTAGAGTAATTCAAGATGGCAGCTCCTTCTTGGTCGAAAGGTCTATCTGCCTATTTTAAGCCGATATTACTATGCTGAAGGGAAAAGAGCTCTGGCTCCAGACCCAGGAACAGCAGGCAAGGATCACACTTATTGGAGAGAGGAGGTTGGTTTACTTCAGAGCTTCAACATGGGTTCCCTCCCACCAGAAGACCAATAGTAAAATAAAGAACCCTTAGAAATAAACATGATTCCTGGAAGACACTCTGACCCTGTGGTAGTTTCAGCATCATCTGCTGGGATGTCACGATTTCTTTAGGTCCCTAGGGGAAGGCGTTGGAAGGGAATGAAATTGACATAAATGAGAAGATAATTGGTGATTTGGGGAGTTAACTCTGGTATTTAGTCTTACTCGTTGAGGAAAGAACCTATTATTTAACCATTCTGTACCTTGGAGGAGACAACTCTGATGTGAATGTTAACAGAACACGCGTTCCCACTGTCATTACTGGTGTGAACTCTAAAGCACCTTCTTATGTAGAAACAGCCACCTGACAATCTCCATCTACTATAGGAACAATCTGTCTAGGCCTTAAAATATTCCATATTGTTTAGAAGGTGCAATGAAAATTTTCATTTCAGGAATATAAAAATCATTGTTCATAATAAGTAGATGTATAAAAATCCATACTACCTCCTGCAAATAAGTAAATTAACAAATATGTAAATTAACATTCACACACACTCCTATAGGCCCTTCATCTTCCTTTGTTGTTCTGCCCCTCAGGTGACCTAATCTCCTTGGCACCCTTTTCATATTTCCTTAGGTTGCTAAGTTGAAAATAAAAAGTGTGCTGAGTGTGAACAGTCTGGTGAAAAATCAAGATGGCAAAAAGACCTAAATCAACATTAGATTCCACAGTGTCCAGAATGGGGAACTTGCACTCCCAATGTATTACTTAGTCAAATGCCCCTAATGTATGTTGGTCATCTCACCTTCGATATAGCTTGGACTGTTCAGAAGTAATAATTACCAGTGGTACATGGAAGGTAGTCAAGACTAGAATAACCTGGAGAGAAACAAAAGCATTTCATCAATGAGAGAGATATCCCAATTATATGCTGATATGTGACGGGATTAAACCACACCTGATAGGCTGCTGAAAGTCCTATTGTGTAGCAGCCTACATTCCAACATGTCCAAGAACCAAGAAGTACCAAGTTGCTAGGACTTACAATGCCTGGAGAAGTCCTACACTCATTTCTTTGGGATGATCCTCCTGGCCTACCCTTGAAGCAGTAAGGCAGAGCTACTCAAATATACATTACCACAAAGGAAGGATTTAACTACTTTGTATCCAAATTATCATAAAACATGGCAAGAACCATCTCTCTTTTTTTTTTTTTTTTTTTTTTTATGGAGGCAAGAATACCATGGGTGCTGTCAGGCAACTGCACTATGTATATATAAGTCTCTTCTGTTCTTCCTATTAGTTCTCCACAAATTCTTTTTATACAAAAATATTTTTCTATAAAAAAATATGCATAAAAAAGATATTCTGGACAGATCAGTACAGGAGTCTAAGGAGTCTCAAAAAGTGATATAATAAGAAAACTTGGAGATACCACATATCTTAGATAAATGGATAAATCATGGAAATTAGGGTCTAACAATTTTTAGAAGAAACTGAGACAAGTTTAAGGAAATTCTACTGGAAGCTTAAAAAATAATTAAGCTTCAATTTGCTTTCCAAAACCAAAATTTTATTTCTTTAGGCTTCTGATATAGCTATCATGTGCCTCCAAGTTATGATACATGCATTACTGGAACAACAGGAGGCATGTGACATGGACCTTCAGCGTACCTTCCTCATGGGAGACCAGCTGCACACCAGGAGGGAGAAAGTGTTGACTGATTGTCCTCCATCCCTCCAGTCCTGGCAGTGCCTCCTTTGTTGGCACAGGGAGAATGCATGGAGTTAAACAACCATGACCCACAGGTGCCACAGTCCTTCAATATAACTATGGGAAAGGACACATGAAAAATGCAGTTTGGAGGGAAAAATGCCACAGTATGTAATGTTCCCTTTTCTCTTTCTACACAGGGGCTTCCTTTCTTAGCACACAGCATTGTCTTTCCCCTTTCTTCTTCTTGCATCTTGATGGTAAGGAGCCACCAAAATCTACCTTCCTACTATGGAAGAAGGTAGTCTTAAGATGGTTCCAGTTCTAAAGCAAAACCAAAACAACTACAGCTTTCTGAAAGTCTGTCCTGTGAACATATGCTCTGAGCCTGTGCTCTGCACTTTCAGAAAGTAATGATACTTAGCATTTAAGTCCCACAAGTCTATATCTTTTTGCCAGACTGAAATAAAATCAAAATGTTACTTACCCCACTGCTATCTCCAACCCAGGACAAGGATACTGAGCCCCTGAGATCATCAAACACATGCTATAAGGGGAAAAAGAAATGAAATTCCTTTAGAAATGTCATCCTCTCCCCTTCAATTTTTGACTTCCTTAAATAATTCAGAACTTTACCACTGTTCAGAGTAATTAAGTTCATAATTATAAGGAGACATGGATTTCCAGAACAAAATTTGGGAGAGATGGGATTTAATTATTTAACCTGAATCACAAATAGCTTAGAAATTTAAATTCTCTCTCACACAAAGTAAGCCAAGCAGATGAGTTTTCTTCACTGCACCAGATGGGGAGATGGGATAATCTAATTGCTTTTTCCACCAGAACTAAATATAAAGATATGGTAAAGTATTCTTAGGATGCTTTAAAACAAGAGATAGAGCCCACATTGACAGACATAATTATAACCCAATCAACATAATTTAAATTTTTCTAGGCCATGTTCACAGTATAACTGAATAGTTAGTAGCTGCATTCCTTTTGCTTCCAGTCTAACACCAAAATAACAAGAGGTAAAAGCAAATGGCCTTGTTTTTAGTCAATAGTAATATTAATAAAATAATAATAATAATAAACTTTACTAGAGCTGTGGTAGGAGACAGGAGGCAAAAAAGAGATAGTGTATTGTCCAAAATATGGTGCATTCATTAAAATACTTGTAATCATCACTGAGGTGCTTTTGAGTTTTTTCCCAATGTATAAAATTATATATATATATATATATATATATATATATATAATTTATAGAAAACAGACAATTATAAGGAGGTATAACAAATGAAGCATTGTTCATAATCCTACCACACAGAGAGATTTCAGGTTAACATAGTACGTATGGTCTTCTAGTCTATATCCTTTTTTTAACTTATAAAAAAATAAAATTCCAATGAGATAGTAGCTTCACTTGATAAAAATGTCCACCAAACAGAAATTATATACTATATATAGTGTATATATCAAAAAGTGAAGGCCCCTTCCCAAGCCCTGTTCCTATTAATAATTTAGTATACATTTCTATTAAATGTTGGTAATTATGCTTTTTTATTAAGACTTATGTCTCAGGATCTTAAATCTTAAATATGTCCTGCCTTCCCAAACATGAGAAGCTCATTACAAGCATAGCATGTAACTTTATATTTCTTGGTACTCTCTATGTCTATCATAGGGATACTCTGCACACTCAATAAGCATTTGTAGAAAATGATTATACTATATCCTTCCCAAACCACAAACTCAATCTCAAAATAGAACATGTCTATAAATGGTGGGATACCAGCTACTTGGTCACCCAAACCACCAATCCCAACAAAGAAGTGTGAAAAGACAGAACTCAAAACATGAACTGTTTTGCTTATCTTCTGATTTTCTCTTGTGGTCCTCTTCAGTTCACCTAAGCTATTCCCCTCCAAGTAGGAAGTGCCTTTGAGGTCAAAAGACCCTCTTACACAATTTTTGCAAGTAGCACCACTAGTGTCTCTCATAGGGTTTGCTGAATAAATACTGGTTAACTCTCAAATGCTCAGGCAGAGCTTCTCATAGTCTCTATAGGACAGAAGGGCTATTCATACATGTAGGCTTGCCAAGCATCTAAGAAGTAGGGTTGCTAGAGACTCTTGGAACCAAAGCTTACACACTGACACAGCAGTGTGTTTTGTAAGATATTTTACACAAAGCAAGACCGCATGTTCTCTTGAGCAAGGAGACAGTGTCTGAAATTACATCAATGAGTTTCTTGGGGAAAAGCAGAAAATATCCAGAGCTACCACAAGCTCTAGACAGACCACATGTTCTAGCAGTTATGTAAACATGGGTTATTTTTCCACAGAAGGTTCTGGTCGTAAAACTAGCTAGGATGAATAAAAAATTCCATCATCCATGGTTCTTGAGCTCTTGGTTGTCTTGACCAGTCTACAATATAATCTGTCTTGAGTCAATGAAGGCCTGCACCTCTTACTTTTCAAGTAATGCTCCTCAGACCTGACCTCGTCAGTGCACACTTACATTACCCAAATTTTCCAACTGATCAGTCATACAACAAGCATTACTGGATGTCACTAGCAATCATCTGCCTCACCTTAACAACTGAGATGATAATTGATCTCATTCATCACCCAAAGAGTCCCTCTAGATATGTAGAACAGACTTATTAATTGCAATTGTGGTTTTCTGCTACCCTTGACCTTCTGTACCATCCCCTCCATTAACCAATTAACATTTGCTTTTGAAAATGTACGAACTCATTTTTAAAAGATTTATCTACCTAGAGTAAATATAGCTGGCTTGTTATATTTCAATCTCTAACACACTTATACTTCTGAAAGTAAAAGAGAAAATGAAATCAGAACAGTATGACCAAAGCTCATATGGAAAAAAGGTTATGTGGGAAGAAGATATATCCACAAGAGTTGGGGGATCAAGAGTACAGAGTCAATCCTCCCTATTGGATAGGAGAAGGAACAGGTATCCAGGAAAGGGTGGACAACATTCTCATGGTTAGGAGACAGAATTCACAAGCGTCAGCAAAAGTCCATCCGTTCTGATCCCGAGTTGTTTATCATCTTTAACACAATGTGCATTTGTCTCTCTACATTCCAGCATCATTTTATATCTTTCAAAAACTTTATTTTAATTATAGCAACAAGAACCCTATCTGACCCTCACTAGACCTGAAGCTCATCTGGTTCAGGGATTGAGCCTATACATTTTTGCAATAACATACAGCATCATGTACCACAGGCACTCAAAAAATATTGAATCCATTTTTTAAAAGAACTATTTGGGAAGTCCTGAAAAGGAAGATGAAGTGAAAAACTATAACCAGACCCGCTTAATTTCCTCATGACAGAAATGAGTATAAAATTTAAATGCTCTGTTCTGGGAGAAATTTTGCTTCTGGCCAAGATGGAGCAGCAGGGATCAAATTTACCCTCCTACATGAAACAAGGAGAACACAGAGAACAGAAGCCAGGTGCAGTGGTGCATACCTTTAATCCCAGCTATGTGGGAGGCTGAGGTAGGAAGACTGTGAGTTCAAAGCCAGTCTTAGCAACTTATTATACCTGTGGCAAAATTTTAAAAATGATAAAAAGGGTTGGAGATAAATCTCCATGTAAGAGTGTCCCTGGGTTCAATCCCCAGCAACCCCCTCTACACACATAAAAGAAAAAGAAAAAAAACAACAACAACAAAATTACATGAAACAAGTTTTCAAGACACTGAACAACAAGCAATGAAGACAATGATCCCTGGAAGATAGGAAACAGTATAAGAGGACCCTAGAACTGCCCCTGCTTACTATCTGCTGAGAATTTCTAGGTCACAGTGCAGGGAAGAGACATCTAGGCAGAGCGCAGAAGTCTCCCTATAGTGGTGAAATAAAACTAGCGTAGGGAAGCCAAAGAGGTCAGAGTTCACAGAATAGAAGACTAGAGAAGAGAATTGCACAGAAAGAGAACCTTGCACAATCACAGAGGGGGTGCTATGGGTTGAATGTGTTCTCCAAGAATATATATGTGTTGGAAACTTAATCTCCCAATTCATATGACATTTGGAGACAGGGCCTTTGGTAGGTATGGAACCTAGATTAGACCCTGAAGATGGAACTCCATGATGGCATTAGTAATTTTAAAAGAAGAAGAGGGACCCCAGCTCACACACTTGCTCTGTCTCGCCGTGTGATGCCCTCTGCCACCTTATGATGCAGCAAGAAGCCCTCACCAGATGCCAGTGCCATGCTCTTGGACTTCCCAGCTGACAACTGTGAGCTAAATAAACCTCTATCTCTAGTCTTTATAATTACCCAGCACATGGTATTCACTTTTAGCGACAGAAAACTGAGACAGGGGGACTCCCCAATCATCTAAAAAAGGATCCTGCTGAGTACTGTAAGCACATACATGTGAGGAAACTACCTGAGGCCTGGGAAAGAATCACCTTGACGGGATTAGAGAGAAAAGTATCTGGACCTAACAAAGGACCACAATGATTCCTGGTTCCCAACAAGCACAGTTAGAAAAACCTCATATTTCAAGGGAATTGAGTAGAGTACTCAGAAATGTTTGCCCTAGAAGTAAAGAAAAATTAATTCTAGACTAAATGCTGTTCTGGTCCTGCTTTAAAAAGTTTAAAAGCAAAACCAAAAAGAAACTGCTTCCAAGTAACATAACTGTGTTGCAGAACAAAGTTCAAAAATATTTATAAGAATACTAAAATATCTAGCACTCAACAAGATGAAATTCACAATGTCCAACATTAAATTTAAAAAATCAGGGGCTGGGGTTGTGGCTTAGCAGTAGAGCGCTTGCCTAGCACGTGCGGGGCCCTGGGTTTGATCCTCAGCACCACATATAAATAAAATAAAGGTACTTTGTCCAACTAAAAAATAAATATTAAAAAAATCACTCAGTATGCAAGAAACAATAAAACAGGACTCACAATACAGAAAAAAATCTATCAAACTGACTCAGAAATAACACAAATAATAGAACTAGTAGACAAGAACTTCAAAACAGTTATAACTGTGCTCCATATGTTAAAAATTTAAAGAATAGATTGAGTTTGTTAAATAAAGACATGAAAGTGGACCCACATTGGACTTGCAGAAATGAGAATTACAATGTCTGAGATGAAAAATACAACAGAATAGGATTAGCAGGAGATCAGACACTAAAGGATGGATTAGGAACTTGAAGAATACCAACGAAAACTATTCAAAGTGAAACTGAAAAAATAACAGAGTATTATTAAGCTGTATAAAAATTTCAAACTAATGCACACATGCACACAAAATTGTAGGAGACTGGGGTAGCAGGGACCAAAAAAATGAAGAAATAGTAGCCAAAAGTTTCCCAAATTTGATGAAAAATATAAAGCCAGAGACCCAAGAAGTTCACAAACCCCAAGCTCCAGCAACATGATAAACAAGGCTCATCATATTTTAAAATGTGTGAAACTAGCCATAGACCAAAAAAAAAACCAAACCTCTGGAAGATGTTCACATACAGGGGAGCTAAGGGGCAGTGGACTTTT